TGTGTCATAGATGTACAATTGAGCATATTTGAGAATAGCACCATGGTCGGGTAACAAACTATCCATTAAATCGTAGTTTGGACTGTGCAAACGGAATACTGGCGGTCTGCTGCCGTTGTTGATGTTGTTATCAATCTTCCCTCCCATGGATGTAAAACAAAACATGTTGTTGTAGGACCGAATGTTTTCTTGAAAGTGCTTGCTTCGGGGACTTGTGCAAAGAATCAACTCACGCAGAAACGGCGGAGGAGTGTAAACAGGTGGAAGTTCGATGAATCCGTGGTTGCAACAGGTAGAGTACTTTGGAACTGTGGGGTTAGATGGCTTTCCCAGTCGCTCGGCGTACCACAATCTGGCACCACAGTGAAGGCAACGATACGATGGGTCGCCAATATCCCAGTATTCTGTAAAATTATAATAATTAAGAATGTAACAATTAATTAAAAAAATAATTATCTATATATCCTACAAAGTATTGGCGATACATTTTTGAAAAATAAAAGAGAAAGTGAAATTAAAATATTCGGTAAACATAAGTAAATAATTACCGTTGTTGATGGATGAGTTCGAAGAATCAATAGATGTAGATGAGCCTCGTGTATCAATGGGCCTTCGAGAAATATTTTGACTACGGACAAAAGCAGAAAAAACATCCTCATTTATGGGGGGAGGGCTGAGGACCTCGGACGTCCTCCTACATTCGTCCGAGGTAGCAAGTTTAATGATGAAACTGCAAAACAATGGATAGTTATTATACACAAATGAAATAAATATATAAATGTAAATCAAAACCTTTTTTTAATTAATGAATAAATTAGATAATTGGATAAGCAATTAGAAATACCATTTGTGGGGGGTGGTAATTCGCGCCTCGGACGACCGCCTACGTTGACCCGATGTGGCAAATTTGACGATGACAGTGTGAAAAAAGTTATTATTTAATAGAAATTATGTCATAATTTAATTGATTAAATTATATATACTTTTTTCTAAAGTAATAAAATATAAATTATAAATCTGATAATTAAATTAATTTACCATTTGTTAGGGGAGTTAATGCGAGCCTCGGACGACCGCCTACATTATATCGAGGTGGCAAGTTTACCGACAAAACTGCAAAATTTTAAATTACAATTGAAAAAAAATAATAAAAGATTATAATCTTAATGTAAAAAAGTAAATATAATATTTTTTATATAAACAAATATTTATAATACTTGATAGTTTATAAAATTACCATTGTGGACATTGTTAACCAACGTTCTCGGGTGCACATTTTCATGATTGTCCATTGTTAGATCAATCAAATCCACTAAACCGCTCGAAGAAGCAGTGCCGATGTGAGTTATGGAACTATTTTGGGATGAAAGTTGAGAATGTGCGGATGGAACATGTAACACCCCGCCTTTTTACTGAAATCAGAGTACGCTTTTTCGCAAGTTTTCTGAATAAATTTAATAAAATGCTTATTTTGCGAAAACTGATTCGGAGTGCTACCGTGAAAATCTGACTTTTTCTGAAAAACCGTTAATTTTAAACTTATAATAAAAACAGTTATATAATGTATTAACCGACTAACGTCGGATCAAAAGCTGAGTTAAGTACTGAAAAGGTAGCGGAAAAGTAGCGTGGCCAAAACATAACATATACATATCAAAACAAA